TAACTGAAATTTTAGATTATGAAATTAAAAGTTTAAAAATTAGTCAAAGTATTAGTAATTATTATAAAATATATATATATATAATTTAATAATTTCTTTAATTTAATATATTTATTTTTAATTTAATAGAAGCTATAAATATTATAAATAATAAATAAGTAAGTAATTTAAATATAAAATTGAATATATATATTTTAATTTATTATATTAAATTTATTTTTATAATAGATGAAAATAATAAATTTATTTATAAATATTTTTTTTTTCTTTTATAACTATATTATATTATATAATTTTTAAGAAATATTTGTTTAGTAACACTGTATATAGAATAAATATTATAAAAAATACAGTTTGTAATTATTTAAATAAACATTTATATATAAATTAAATTATAATGATTAAATTAATTAAAATATGAATTATAAAAATACCATAATAAAATAATAAAAGAAGATCTGTATTATAATAATAAAAAATTTAATGTAAATTTATTAGTATAAACAGGTTTTATAGATCTTTAAACAACAAATAAATTTTCTTTTTCTCAAAAAATCTTTTTTTAGATGATTTATATAATACTAACGAATAGTTATTATTATATATCTTATTTTACCTTATATTAATATTACCTTAATATTAATAATTACATTTAATATTGAGACTAACATTAATATTAACACTAAAACTAAAATTAATATTAATATTATACTAATGCAAATATTAATATTAATACTAACACTAAAGTAGAGGATAAGGTAAATATAAAGATAAAAAAAGAATCTATTTTAAGAAATAAAGGTTGTTTAAATATTCTTTTTTTTGTTTAAAAAAGATTTGAATCTATTACAGTGATAAAAAAAATTATTATAATATGATAATTAATATATTAAAATTCTAAATTCTGATAACTGACTGATAATATAAATGTTTTAAGTATTCTAAGCAAACTGTATTACTTGTTAATAATTCAGCAATGTTTTGTATTCTACACTTTTTTTAAATTATGAGCATGTCCTTAGCATTTTTATAAGGTATCATTATATCATATATTGTGATTTTCATTTTAATTATTATCTGAAGCATAAGCACAAAACACTTTCGGTTAGAACTAAAACAATGCATGTAGTGTCTGTCTACATATGATCTACCAAATCATGTGATAAAAATAATATCAATTTGTGATTGGCTAAAATTTAAGTATGTTGATCAACTAATTTGAATGCTTCAAATACTCCAACAGTTCCCATTACTTAGTGAGTTAAACAATATTTGTAAAATGATATTTGGCTTTTGTAGGATGTTTATTTTATGGATATGTACTATCCAGTGCTAAATTGTAAAGGTAGCGCCTCTTTTTGTAAAGTTTAAATTGAGTCCTTTAATAAATGAAAAAAAATTTCTTTGTTGAATTTGTTTTATAATACCATTAAATCTAAATACAAGTTCTTACTTGCTCAATAATACTTGGAATTAAAATATAAAATGTTGTTTAATTTTATCTCCTTTTAATAAAAAAGACCATATTTTTCTATAAAAGGATAAATTAATCTACATGGAATTATCAGATTAATAAAATTCTCTTAATAGTGGGACTCAAATTATGTAGAGGTTGGTCAATTTTAATAATTTAAAAAACCGCTTAAAACGTTTAAAAAATCTTTTACCTGTTAAAATAGTTGATTTTAATGCCAGCTGAAATTCAATTTTCGGTTAGAATTAAGATTTTATTATTGCAAAAATATTTGCTAACTCTGGTCAAATCCATAATACTGACCTAAGTTAATTTTAACTGTTAAGAAATATTTAACTATATATTAACTGGTTAAAGCTTTTACTCCAATTCTGACTTCTAGAATTAGATTTGTGATGCTTTTAGTTAGTCATTGAGGAGGAATAGATAATTTAAAGAGTAAACTTATGGATGTGAATTTTCGATGTGGTATCATCACTTTAAACAATGAATAATACATTTTAATATTGAGAAATGAAATATCAAATTTTATATGCATAAGGAAATATTAAAAATTTGGCAACATTAATAAATATCAGCGAGATGACCTTAATGTATGTATTTTATTTCTCGGGATTCATGAAAATATTTGATTTTTGAAAAAGACAGTATTTATTGCTAACTTGCATAATCAGAAATTGTTTTTTAAATGATTTGTTTATTAAATAGTTATGGGAACTTTATTTATTATATATCAATATATCTGTTTATTTATGACATTAGCAAGAAATAATTAAATTATACATACGGGAACAATTATTCATATGATAAAAATGAAGAGCAGACAGAAATCGATTGAGGGAGGAGTAAATCCCTATAAGAATATCGTTAAATGTGAACCAGTCAGTTCATATACGCGTTTTGATTATTTTCATATTCATATAAAGGAAGGTAGTTTGCCTATCTTGAACAATCAAAAACTTAATTCAGTCCTTGAATCACGTAAATGAATTTAATTGTTTTCTTTATCAATTCTGAACTCTATAAGATAAAGATTTATGAAAGTTACTTAATTGAAAGAAATTTCAAGATATATACAAAATAAATTCTATATTTATAAAATGTGATAAATATAATAAATCTGATAAATCTGTTTATTAGATATATTGAATTGAGTAACAAGACAAAATACATAGACAATTCCTCAGCAGACCCTTACCAAATAAACATACACTTCCCTCCAAAAATTATCTGACCACTTGCTGATTATTTACTGATCATTTAAAATTATAGCTGATTTCGACATTTATTACTTAACAATTTATTAATAAAATTTTTACAAAATTTATATATGTAATGCA